TTTTTCAGGCCCGGTCCGCCCCGGGCCAGAAAGTCAGTCACTAAGCCTGGCCCGGCCCGGTCAATAAATTATTAGGCCCGGCTGGCCCGTACCGATTCTATTTTATGTAGAAAATTAACAATTTTTAACCGTAATAAAGCTAAAAAAGACGCTTTGGGATTTTTTAAGCTGTTTTATTTATGTAAATGTTAAGAAAAAAAATATCCTGACCTAAATGGCCAGCCCGGCCCGGCTCGGCCCGATTTTAAAAAATAGCGGTTCGGCCCGGCCCGGCCCAGCTTTATTCTTACAAACACTGGTTTGTAACAAACACGTTCGAAAGCTGCTTATTAAAAGCTAGGGTTGGGATTTTCACCGGTCAAAATCTTTTGTGGTCAATTGACTAGTCAATTGACCGGCACATCATTCTCTTCACTGAACCCACCCTCGCCATTGTCTTTACTCTTTTAAAATTAATTAGTCAAAAATGACCCAGAACACTATTTAAAAAGCATTATTATGATTGCACCATGGTCCACTACCGAACATTTTTTTAATACTTTTGATATTTTCCGCTAGGTAGCGCCGCTGCCGTACGCGGTGGAATTTAAAGTTTTTGACCGATTTTGACATGGTCAAATTGTCTCCTGTCAAAATAGGTAAAAATCTCGGTCAATTGACCAGGCACAACCCTATTAAAAGCTGAATTCTGGTTACGTGGTGGCGCTACTAACGATGCTTCTTCATGTTATTTATTAGTGAGTTTTGAATTATTTTTATCATTAAAATCTCATTCAGGAAGGGTTAAACCCAGGGGTAAATCACTACAAAATTAGCGAAACCAACGTTGTTTTAATTTTCTTATTCCATCCTTATTCGAAAAATCCTTATTAATAATGTATTTTTCTTAATACCCATGTGATTTTTTTCTTAGTCGTTAATTGAAACCACTCTGTACATTGAAGCTAAACACAAAAATTAATTTATTGTCTACATTGTTTATACTGCAAATAAAAGAACGAAAATAAGTGAAACAGTTTTAGATTTTTATTTTATTTCTGATTTCTGTGTTTTTTTATTTTCTACTGCATAAAACTGCTGAATAAATATTTTATAATCCCGATAGCAATCATAAAGCTAAGCAGACATTGAGTTACGTGTGTCTCATAAAAATTAAAATGGGATTGTTGTGTAGAAACCCAGAATGCATTATTACTCCTATTGATAATTGGAATTGCAAATTGTGTACCGGTGCACCGATTTCGGTTCAATGTACCGAGAAATATTATGCTTCCACTTCTATCACTTACACATTCCGAAAACGTTTCTTAAAGAATGACCACGAAAATTATTATACAAAAACGGTCGACCCAATGTTGTATGAAATAATTATGTGTGTACAATTTATATGCTTTAAGGTTTTTGCGCTTTGTGTTATTTGCTTGAATACGGACGATTTAATGCTCACACATTATGTTTTGCAGAATAAAACTATTTTATTTTATTTTACAACAAAACGTTTTTTTTTATAATATAAGTGTTTTTCTTATTTAGAGACTCTAAATATGGAACTATAAATTCCTATAAATCCGCGATGAAAAGTAAATTTTTAAATTTAGTTCTTGATGCTGTAACCTTGGGATAAGTTATTAAAATTAAACACTGATTACTTTATTTGTAAAACCAGAACATATTTTGTAATATTATAGGAACTGTATAATACCAATTATTAAACATTTAACCAACTATTAATATTCCGTTAGGCATTGATTGTTAAAAGTAATATTTTAAGGATTAATATTTTATTTTATACTAACTTAAGTTTGTTATAATTAAGTTAAAAATGCATTACTTTTTTAATTTAGAAAACCTTGCAATATTAATTTTTAATTACACGCTAAAAAGGCATCGCTAAAACTACAAACTTTTAATAATCGTTGACAGCCGTGTTACAAACGAGTGTTTTTGATAATAGGGCCGGAAAATGTTAAAAATATCAAGAAAAAAACGTGGAACGATTTGTTGTGACCGTTGTTACCGGTTTCGTAATAAACAGTGGAAATCCGAATAAAGAAATAACTTGCAGTCCATGTAAATATAAATTATACCTATTAAACACAAAAAAACACCAAATTTATGTTTATTTATAAAAATGCAATTTAGTTCTTGAATTATATTTACAATTAAAAACACAATAATTTACCATGCTCACTTAGACAAAAAACACACTAGTAACTATACAAGCATATAAGCGTTGTCTTAATCAGTCATATAAGGAATAATAAATCGAAATCGAGTACTAAACCAAAGTTGTTTAGTTTTTACTTGCAACTGGAAACACAAATAACGTGCACAATATAACTGTGCAATTGAAAATTTGCGAACAAAATATTTATTTATTTAAAAATTATGTGCAGTTCGTATGCTTTAAGTGTATTGTTGAAAAACCTTGTAGTTCAATAATGCTATCAAGCGCCACCAGATGGCGCGCGTGTTGCGAAAACCCGATGCTTCTTTAGCGTATATATAACTATATATAGCGTATTATATAACTATTTACAATATATTCATAAATATCTAGTATTAAATACTAAAAGTTTGCGAATGATTAAAAATCACTATTGGAAGCAACTTCCCAATAATATTTTTCTATAGTCGGCCATGATGACATTTTATGTCATTTATGCATTATGCCATTTGTGCAGTATTTTTTATTTTATCTTGTGCATTTTGTTGGTTATCGTTTAAAACTCTTAAATTAATTAATTATTTAATTGTGTTTATTTATTAGTGAGTTTAAATAGTTATTAATTATCTCTATTAAACTCTTACTTTATGCACCAGTAATAAAAACAAATCTTAACCTTAAATCTAATTACTCATGCCTACTCTTTATTTTTGTTGTTGTTTTTGTTTGTCATACCTTATTCTTATTCTTCTTTCCGTTTTTTGGTTTTAGCTACTATGGCTGTACAACCATCAAACGTCGGCCGTTGTGACTTAGTTGTGTTTGTATGGCTTGTGCCATGTCCTTCCAAAATAAATGGCTACGTTATCCTCTTCCTGCGTTTTTTATTAAACTTTGTCTCTTAATGATTTTCTATATATTATTAGTTTTTTGGTATATACCATCTTAATCCTATAATTATTAATCTTTAATAATTCATTTCGTTATTCGACTTTTTCCATATATCCATCAATTTTTGATAAATATCAGTTCTAATTTCGTCCGTGCTGTGTCAAGTCAAGTGACAAAATTCTGAATTCTAGATTGTTTTCAAGTTATTTAACAAAACTGAGTAAATTTCCACTTAAAACAATAGTTTTAAATTTTGAGAAAAAATATGAATAAAAATATTGGTTGTAACTAGACTTGTTATCGAAAAAAATAAATGATTGTAATTTTATTTTATTTATTGTTTCTTTTTCAAAATTGGTACCCAGATAAATAGATAATTATCTAGTTTTCAAATAAAATAAATATTATTTTTTTAAACATTAATTTTATTTAATCTGTGAGTCAATCCATATGAAAACGCCGAAACTCGTTGCTCGACCATCTTGGATTTTGCTCAAATTTTGTAGAAATATTTATTAGAGTCCCAAAGGGCAAAATCCGCCCTTATTTATTTTTCGCATGTGTTAAATCCGTCATATTTGAATTAAAACTTTTTAAAAACGTCATTAATAATTTAAGCTGAAATTTTTTTCTATTAAAGATATTTTAAATTTTAAGATGTCATTTTAAAGCTAAAAAATAGTAGTTTTTATTAAAGAAGAGATAAATTCACTCAATTAATATTTCTAAATAATTACGCGGTGCTGAAAAAACGTGTATTTTACTAATTTTTCGTGTTTTTTTAATCCGTCCCATGTCTCGGCTGTTTAATATGAACAGTTAATTTTTTCATATATTAGGTTTACATACCAAAGACAAAATAAAACTTACAATTGACCCGTTTGGCATACGGTTACCAAAAAAAAAATTACTTGAAGTTTTAAAATTCTAGAAAATCGCATTATTTAGCCATTATATGAGGATGTTGACTTCCAATTAGAATTATAAAAATTACAGGATAATTAGCCCTACCTTTATTTTCAAATGCCTGGTAGTTTGGTTTTGTTATTTTCATCTTTGAAGGTTTTACAGTAGCTTTAAAAGAAGAAAAATATTGAAACAATGAAAAGGACTAAATATCCTGTTAATTTTAAATTTCTATATTAAAGTCAACATACTTATATAATGGATGAAATAATGCGACTTTTTATTATTTCAATATTTTTATTCTTTTAAAGCTACTATATAACCTTTAAAGATGAAAATAACAAAACCAAACTACCAGGCATTTGAACATTAAGGTAGGGGCTAGTTATCCTGTAATTTTCATAATTCTAATTGTAAGTCAACATCCTCATATAATTGCCTAAATAATGCGATTTTCTAGAATTTCAAAATTTCAAGCAATTTTTTTTTAAACCGTATGTCAAACGGGTTAATTGTAAGTTTTATTTTGTCTTTGGTATGTAAACTTACTATAAGAAAAAAATTAGCTGTTCATATTAAACAGCCAAGACATGGGACGCATTTAAAAAACACGAAAAATTAGTAAAATACACGTTTTTTCAGCACCGTGTAATTATTTAGAAATATTGATTGAGTGAATTTATATTTTTTTATAAAAATTACTATTTTTTAGCTTTAAAATGACATCTTAAAATTTAAAAATTACAGCTTAAATTATTAAAGCATAAAATTAACGTTTTTAAAAAGTTTTAATTCGAATAGGCCGGATTTGACACATGCGAAAAAATAAATAAGGGTGGATTTTGTCCATTGGGACCCTAATAAATATTTCTATAAAATTTGAGCAAAATCCAAGATGTTCGTGCAACGAGTTTCGGCGTTTTCATACATTTCTTATTCATGTATTTTTTTAATTTAAAAATAGGAGTAGTTTTTATTTTTATATGTTTTGTTAGTTTTTAAGCTTATAATTCTCAAATTTTTTTTAAACTTAAAAATGCAAACAAATATACCTATTAGGTTGGTAAGTTTCTAGTTGTAACTTTACCAAAATTATTTATACTATAGTAGGGTATACCATTTTATTTTAAGTAAATTGTGTAAGGTGGTTATAACTAATTCTTACATTACGTTTAGCAGATTCACCAAGGTATTTACTACAAATGGACATAACATATACATATATATATATATATATATATATATATATATATATATATATATATATATATATATATATATATATATATATATATTAGGGTGATTCATTTCCGCAAAGTTTTTGTTTTCTTCGGTGCTCAAGCAAAATATTAATCTGCATATAGAAAAAAAAATTCTCAACAAGTTTGAGCTCTTAATATCAATTTTAAGTACTTGCAGTTTAAATTTAAAGTTTTCCCATTTAAAATGCATGTAAAAAAAATGTTTTTTTTTTCAAATTTCTAATGTTTATCCACCTTTGACAATATTGCAAATCGGTTTAATACACCTTATGGGGAATTCCACGCTCTTTAAAATTGCTTTTGAGGTTTTTTTTGTAACTCGCATTGGTTCACCAGTAGGAGTCGTCAAAGGACAGTTTTTGAAAAAAACGTTTTTTTTTTTAAAAATTTTTTAACAAACCGCAAAAAGTAGGGAGAAAAGTTTTTGTTTTCTTCGGTGCTCAAGCAAAATATTAATCTGCATATAGAAAAAAAAATTCTTAACAAGTTTGAGCTCTTAATATAAATTTTAAGTACTTACTATTTAAAGTTTTACCGTTTAAAATGCATGTAAAAAATATATTTTTTTTTTCAAATTTCTAATGCTTACCCACCTTTGACAATATTGCAAATCGGTTTAATACACCTTATGGGGAATTTCACGCTCTTTAAAATTGCTTTTGAGTTTTTTTTTGTAACTCGCATTGGTTCACCAGTAGGAGTCGCCAAGGACAGTTTTTGAAAAAATTCGTTTTTTTTTTAATTTTTTCTAACAAACCGCAAAAAGTAGGGAGAAAAAAGGGCTGAATCATAAAAAAAAAGTTATCCAACCAATATTTAATGAATTTACAGCCATTTTTATAACTGAAAACGTAAGAAATTGATAATTACCAATTCATAATGTTATTTAGATTGATTTTTTCTATTTATTATCATTATATTTCCCTACACTAAGAAGTTTTTTAAAATTATTAATTTCTCACTTATAATGAATATGAAAACAACAGATAAATTCATAAAAAAATAGCAAAAAAATATAAATGAAGATTATTTAATTTTTTGAAGCGAAATTTGAAATATGTATGTGTTGTTTTCATATTCATTATGAGTGAGGGAAATATAATGATAATAAATAGAAAAAATCAATCTAAATAACATTATAGGTTGGTATTTATCAATTTCTTACGTTTTCAGTTATAAAAATGGCAGTAAATTCATTAAATATTGGTTGGATAACTTTTTTGTTATGAATCAGCCCTTTTTTCTCACTACTTTTGGCAATTTGCTCGAAAAAATAAAAAAAAAAAAGATTTTTTTCAAAAACTGTCCTTTGACGACTCCTACTGGTGAACCAATGCGAGTTACAAAAAAAAACTCAAAAGCAATTTTAAAGAGCGTGAAATTCCCCATAAGGTGTATTAAACCGATTTGCAATATTGTCAAAGGTGGGTAAGCATTAGAAATTTGAAAAAAAAACCATTTTTTTACATGCATTTTAAATGGGAAAACATTAAATTTAAACTGCAAGTACTTAAAATTGATATTAAGAGCTCTACCTTGGTGAAAATTTTTTTTTCTATAGGTAGATTAATATTTTGCTTGAGCACCGAAAAAAAACAAAAACTTTGCGGAAATGAATCACCCTAATATATATATATATATATATATATATATATATATATAACATAACTGCTAAAGTTTACCTCCTGCACTATGCAAGTATTATTAAAGAAAATGATATCCAGAAATAAAACGTTTATTTTTTGCCATTCTAAAACAATCATTTGATGGCTAGCCGTAAAAGGATTGTTTTAGAAGTGTGACCAACAAACTTTGGTCTATAGGCGACTTTCAAAACTCTAGGTAATAAAATAAATCATATTTTAATAAGTACTGATCGGCTACTGTCTGGAGCCAACAAAACATAAGGGACCCCTTTGAATGGCGGGCCTAGGGCTATAGCCTCTAAAGCCCCTTAACTCAGGACTGATGATGTGGGAAATATATAAATTACTTAAAAACCAACCAATTCAAAACATGTTTTTGTTAATTTTCCACGAGAGATTTCACTTTGTATCAGCGCTTATAATTTATTTTATTACATATTTATAAAAACCCAATAATACCAAAAGTTATATAATAATAATATAACATTTTATGAAATAATTATAAAATAAGTTGTTATTGTAGATTTCAGTCTAGCAAACATACGCAATATGACGATACATATTTTACAAATAGATTTAATTCTCAATATTTCAACATGTCTATTTAGCGTTTGAAGCTGCGATCCTCCAATTTTCCAGAAAGAACAAAAATAAATACGCGGGGCATCGCTGTATTTCTCCCTGTCCCCGGACCAGCGACTCATCCCCCCGGAAAATTTGCTGCATCCCCGGAGTTCCCGACGCGCCAGTCTGTTGTCTGCTCCATAAATGGCAATATCGCTCCATTTTATATCCAAATACAACGATACAATTGATGTAGGCAACCGCCGACCCGGCCCGCACTTACTTCATATTCCACTGCAGACTTTTTTTTATTGAGGTTGTCTTCTTGAAATACTGTAAATAATTTTTGTTTATATTTACAAATAATTATTATAATTTTTAAAAATTTCTTCTGAAATAAAAATTATTTATTAAATTAAAGTAAATGAAATAAAATTTGATATTGACTAGTTTTCAAAGTAGCCAGTAATAACTCTAGTCCGGACATTTAACAGCCAATTCTTATGTAAAATTGTCTGATGAATCCGAAAGCACGGATACAAAATTATAAAAGTAGAGCAGTTTTTAAGATATAGCCAATTCTATATTTTATGAAAAATTGACTTTATCTCAAAAACTGCTGTACTTTTTACATTTTTTGATTGAGCTGACAATTTTACATAGGAATTTACTGCTTAATTTCCGGAATACAAATTGCTGCTGACGAGAATTATTAGTGGCTGCTTTTTGACCTATTTATTTTTAGAGTACATTAAAACCATATTTTTGCGAAGGCACTGTCAAAATCAAACAACCATGCAACTTTTTGCTGGTCATTCCACGTAAATTGTCAAAACCTATTCCTTTTTGTATACATTGTGCACCAAGAAGTATTCTTTTAGGTGTATACCTACTTCTAGGGATATTTTTTTATTTGAAGAGCTACAAGGTCAATTAAATTAGAGAGCTGCGTAATTACAAGCCTAAAATGAATAAATTGGAAAAAAGCCAGCAGTTCTCAATATATTTAAAATAAACGAAAAATATTTTAAAATCAAAAATCGTTATTACTTAATTATTCCTGGAAATATTGAAAAAGTTTAATATTCAAAGATACATAATAATTTAAATTTTCATCCAATTTCTTCTCTACTATATTTTGAATTACCATCACCGCCATTACTTATGTTGTTTGAATCCCTCGATTTTTTTCATCTTGGGAAAAATAAAAGATGGTGGTGGTAACTCAAAATCTAATAGGCGAAAAAACCACAAAATGAATGAAAATGTAAATAAATTTGTATGTTTACATGGGAAACTTACTTTTTTTCCAAATTTCTAAGATTACCCAAAGATTTTTGGTTTTAACAGTTTGTTTTTCAAATTATTTGAGAACCGCTGATTCTTTACCAATTTTTAAATTTCATTTTAACTTGTAATTACGTAAGTTTTGTCTAATTTAACCGAACTTGTAGCTTTTTTAATAAAAAAAAAAGATACCCATACATAGAAGTATACTTGGTGCACCTTATATACCTCAAAGCTTGAGGTGACTGAATTTCTTAATTCCTTTATATATTGTAACGGCTAAATTTTGAGCATATAATTTTATATTATGTTTGGTCCTATCATCTAATTTGATGAATTTTTGGTACCAAGTAATTTAATATCTATGTTAGGGTACTCACCATGATAGTGTGGTTAGGTTTTTATTAGTCTGGGTTATAAATAATAATTTTCTCAGGCATTCTTTTTAGTTAAGAATTTTGTGTGGACCTACAAAATGACCCTCCTTTTAATATCATGACTTGATTTAATGTATTTTTGTTGTAAATTACCTTTTAAGTTTCTTTGTTTTTGGGGTTATGATTTTGGCGTTGTTTTTGGTTTTGTTCTTTTTCTTCTTCTTATGTTTATTCCTAGACCAAATCAGGTGTTTATTTTAGTTTTCTTTTCTTAAGTTTTTGTGGCTAACTTCGTGGATCAGGTTTTCTAGGGATTTTAATTTGTTAATTTCGTTTCTTTTGGCCCCTGCGTTTCGAGATGGCGCGCCAGAAATTCCTTAAACATTGAAAAAGTCAATTTTTAAAAATGATGGAACATTAATTTTTTTTATGCTAAAAACGGTCAAGTAGGCCATTAAGCTTACAAAAACACCAGAAATATGTCTGTTAGTTTTTATGTTAACACATGCGGGTTTGACAAATGTCGGTAAATTTAATACTTATTGTCTGGTTTATTTTGTTTAAACAAATCGCTTAAGTTTAAGACATTACAGTTAAAGGTGGATTAACTTTTTGACATAAACTATGAGTGGGCCAGATGCAGGCAAGTTCAAGGTTTTATACCATTTAAATTTTATGGATTTCTTAGCGAATTTACAAACAAAAATAATGATTTAGTGAACGCATGTAAAAGCAAAAATTAACATATCACTTGAATATTTCACCAGAGATATATCAAGATCGACATTGAAGTACACGTTTTTGTTGATGCTATTAAACTCTCCAGTACTTAAGCTTTATTATCGAAAAAAAAACTTTTGCCGAATTTTGCCTATTCAGGAGAAAACGCAAGATTTTCTGTGTGGTCTTTTACAATTTGATTCAAAACAAAGCTCTATTTGGGTATTAGTTGAAAGGTTATTAGGCCTAGATTGTAAAAGAATTTTTGAATATGTTAACTGTCATTTTGAAAGTTTTGACGTTTTTTTCTAAATGTGATATTTAAGGAAATTTTAGTGGTTTTAATGGATTTTTTTAATTTTGTTTTGTTTAATCGTTTGAGCTGTAGTGCCTATAAATTGGCACAGTAATTTTAAAATACCCTGAAAACAAGAAACATTTATTAATAAAAATCAAAATAGTTGAGTTTTTTTAAATATATAAAAATATATATACAGTGTGACCCATTTGTTTGCGACTCACCCCTGTAAAACCTTTATTTTTTGTGCGATTTTAACCGGATTTGTTTTAAAGTGTAGATCTTGATAAACTGTATTTTTGGAGAAAAAAACGCCATATTTGTACAAAATACTATGCCAGTTTTTAAGAGTAAATTTTTAAGAATTCATATTAGCAATTTTTTTAAACAAAATCTAAGCACGGCACTGGATTCACCACCCCTCAAAACGACCCTTTACTAAATTTTATTGAAAAATTTTAAGTAGAAAATTGCACAATAATATCTACAAAAATTTATTCTGTCAAGTTATTTATGAAAAACACATTGAAATAAAATTAAACTAATAGTAACATGGTCCTATTCTTAGTTTAATTTTATTTCAATGTTTTGTATTTTGTAAAAATATGGCGCGCCAGAATTTTCCTAAACATTGAAAAAGTAAATTTTTAATAATTAATTTAATTAAGTTTTCTTATGCTAAAAACGGACAAGTATTCCATTAAGCTTACAAAAACACCAACAATTTGTCTGTGACTTTTTATGTTGACACACGCGGGTTTGATAAATGTCAGTAAATTTAATTCTTATTGTGTGGTGTATTTTGTTTAAACAAATCGGTTAAGTTTAAAACAATACAGTTAAAGGTGGATTAACTTTTTGGCATATACTATGAGTGGGCCAGATGCAGGTAAGTTTAAGGTTTTATACCATATAATTTTATAGATTTATTTGCAAAGTTCCGGAAAAAAATAATGATTTAGTGAACGCATGTAAAAGTAAAAATTAAAATGTCACATCGATATTTCACCAGAGATATATCAAGATCTACACTGAACTACAAGTTTTTGCTGATGTTCTTAAACTCTCCAGTACTCAATCTTTATTATCGAAAAAAAACTTTTGCCGAATTTCGGATCCAGGAGAAAACACAAGATTTTCTGTGTGGTCTTTTACAATTTGATGCAAAATAGAGCTTATGGCGTATTAGTTGAAATGTTATTAGGCCTAGATTGTAAAAAGTTATTTGAATATGTGATCTGTCATTTTGAAAGTTTTGACGTATTTTCGAAATGTCATATTTGAAGGCAATTTTAGTGTTTTAATGTTTTTTTAAATTTTTTTCAAATTCAAACGTTTGAGCTATGGTGCCTATAAATTGGTAGAGTAATTTTAAAATACCCTGAGTCAAGAAACACTTATTATTAAAATATATTAAAATATCAAAATGCGATTTTTTGTTAAATATATTATTAAAGAATATTTTATTAGAAATAAAAAAATATTTATTGTTAAAATATCGCCCTGTAACTGTGTTTCAGATAAATGTATGGAAAAGTTGTCGGATATGAAACAAAAACGTGTAGTGTTTTTTTTGTGTTTTTTTGATTAAAGGATCATTTTTTTTCTCTGATCTTTATAGAGGGAAGGGTCCACAGGATTCAGGTCAGAACCCTATTTGATGGTGGGGTGAAACAAAATGAAATAAAAGAAACTCTTTTGACTGCGGTGTGCCAAAAGTGTTGCCAGCAAAATCAAAAAAGAATACAAGATATAGCTAAGAATTACTCTACTCAGTTTCGTAGAAGATGGCTTGCAGTAAATAGAACTAAGCATGTTTTTTTCAGCAAAAATGAAAATTGGTTGAAGAAGTTTTTGTTTTTGAACTGCATTTCTGGCAAGCATCCTGATGGTGTTGGAAGACCAAAATTAGAATTTGAACAGCTCACCTACAGCGGTAAATTTCGAAGAACTGAAAATTTAAGAAAATCAGATAGTAATGAACTTCTGTTTGCAGTTCAGATGAACTTGAAAGCCAATGGCAAAAAAACGACCGCTAAAAGTATTCGCAACCTTGTTCAGAAAAATAATATTCCGAACGAACCTGATGGCAGTAAAAGCCAATTGAGCAGTGAAAGAGCCCTGGCTTTGACAGTGGATGCTAGATTATCTAAAAGACAGTATCAAGAGTTAAGAAATATAGCAAAGGAAAATAACTCCAATCTCTATCCTCCATATAACCAAATTAGAGAAGCCAAAAAGTTGTGCTATCCTAACGATATTACAGCCACTGACCATTCTGTCTCCGTGAAACTTCAGTCATTACTGGATCATACGACTTGTAGATTACTTTCAACTCTAGAATTGGATGGTTTTAAAAGCTTGAAGAAATGTGAATTAATTATGATTTCAAAATGGGGTATGGATGGTAGTTCTGGCCAAAAAGAGTACAGGCAGGCTTTTGAAAGTAATTATTCAGATAAAAATTTACTTTTGACATGTTTGGTTCCACTGCAGATATACACTTGGAATAAAAAAAATGAAAAGATTTTAATTTGGAATAATCCTATGCCTTCATCCACAAGGTATTGCAGACCATGTAAAATACAATTTTTAAAAGAAAATATTGAAGTATCAAAAAGCGAATATGCCGTTATGCAAGCCGAAATTGACAATTTAATGCCAACAAAGTTTCTAATAAATAAACATCATTATAATATAAAACATGAACTTTACATGACAATGATCGACACAAAAATGATAAATTCTTTAACTGATACTTCGTCGCAAAAATGCTATTTATGCGGGGCTGCACCAAATGAAATGAACGACATAGAAAAGGTCTCTAAAAAACCTATAAAAGATGAATATCTAAAATTCGGGATCACATCTCTCCACATTTGGATACGATCCTTTGAATGACTCTTAAAAATTTCCTATCGTTTACCACTTAAAAAGTGGCAGGCACGCGGTAACGACAAACTTATTATTAACGAACAAAAACGTAAAATTCAAATTAAATTTAAATCTCTCCTGGGAATTATCGTTGACCAACCAAAACAGGGCAGTGGTACTTCAAATGATGGAAACTGCGCAAGAATTTTTTTCCGAAACTATGATATTTCTGCTGAAATTACAGGACTGGACAAAACCTTAATATACAGATTTTTTGTCATCTTACAAGTTATTGCTAGTGGATTTAATGTAAATAAAAATGAATTTGACACATATGCAATGGAAACTGCTAAATATTTTGTATCGAAGTATCCCTGGTACAAAATGCCAGCGGGCATTCACAAAATGCTAATACATGGTTCAGCCATTGTACAATCAGCACCCATGCCAATAGGACAGTTTTCCGAAGAAGCCCAAGAGGCACGCAACAAGGAATACAGGAGATATAGGGAACACCACTCCCGAAAATTTAATAGAGTTGCCACAAATATTGATGTCCTTAATAACATGCTTGTTTCATCTGATCCAAAAATTACTAGTTTAAGAAAAAGACTTTCAATTCAAAAAAGAAAATTTTGCCCAGAGGCACTGAAATTATTGCAGCCAGCTGCAATAAATGGTTGTTTTGATAGCGATACAAGCTCCGATAGTGATTCCGACTAGGAAAGTTGGGCAACCAAAGCTATACTTTCCTTTGTTTACTTAAATGATTATTTTCAGTTATCGCAGTTCTATAGTTATTATTAAATACTTTAATTTCAAGTATAGCCTTTTAAATAAATTTTTTGCATAACTCAGCTTTTTCAATCTTATACCTTTGACATTTTTTCGATTAACTGTTACCTATTTTTTGCCTATGTCTATGAAAATATATATTATTTTTCAAAAACTGTTGAAAAAGACATAATTTTTATTTGACAGATTCATTAGTTTTTACAAGATATAGGTATAGGCTCTTAAAACTGTATTTGTGAAATTATTTCCATTTTGACATCCTATATCTTCTATTACAAACACAATAACTTCAATAAGTTTTACAATTTTGCCCTAGTGGGTTAAGTTTGCAAAATGAGAAAATATCGTTAAATATTACTTTGTTCCCACAATCTTGCGTTGTCTGGGCAGCTGTTTATAAGTAAAATTAACTTATTTTTCTTTGTTTTTGATAATTACACGATCAAAATTGATACATTTGTTGACTTTGATATTTTTCAATGTTTTACAAAATCCTGGCCCACAGTGTGGCGGTCGCATAATTGCGATTCAAAAATAAATCCGTCATTGCTGAAAGCATCATTTAGTGTTGAAGGGACAAAGGCTCAAAACATCTAGGCCTTTTTTCCCAAGGCACGTGTGGAATTTGGGTTAAAAAATCACAGAGCCCCTTTGTTGTTATAAGCAATCCTGGAAATAGTCCTTGTAACGGCTTTAAGTGCCTTACGGTGCTGCTGGATAAAGATTCGCCTTTTGGTTGAAGATCTGTAAACTTACGATCACCTCTGGAGCTTACAAGCCTGTGTGAAAAGTCACCTGTGTGAAGAGTCACCTTCATAGAAGTTGAAGCCAAATGTTGAGGTCATGTCATGCTGCCCTAAGCGTTTATTCTGGACATCAGCGTTCAATACAGCCACTGAAATCTTGTCGAAGATCCGAAAGGTAGTACCTTTTGTTTATTTTTAAATAAGTGTTACATATGTATCCTATTACTGTTTTGTTTATTGAAAAGTGTATCTTTGTAAAGATTAAGGAGTTGTCTTAGTAAACATATTTTTATCTGTAATAATTTTAGAATAAGTTAGTCATAAGGCCATATTAGTTTATTTGGGTAGTAATTAATTACAACGTAGTACAGGTAGACACTCAAAAAACAACTGCTAGGCAGTGTTTGCGATGTTTATTTTATTTTTAAATTTCATCGACTTATTTAATTTTGTAAAAACAAAGAATTTAGTTGTTACTTATATAAATGTATGAGTCCTGGTTAAATTTGTATTTTGTTAATAACTTCTATTTTTCTAGACATCCTGTCAAATTTTTCACGAATGGCGCATTCCTCTTATCCGTTTTTTATTTATATAAATAACATCTTGAACCCAGACTTCTATGAAACCGGTAAGTAACTTAAATTATTTTTTAAATTTTTTGGAAAATTTTAACGATATAATATGTGTATGTAATATGTAGTTATTTTTTAGTAGAATTAAATCAAGAATTTACCCAGCTTAACTGCTTTAAGATAACTTATTTTAGACCTTCTATTAGTTGATATTCAATTTTTTTCTCTAAGACTTGCTAGATATATTTCGCCATGACTTAAAAATTTCAGATGAGTGACTTTTTTATATAATATATATTATTAATATAAGTAACTTTATCTTTTAGTATTATTTTTGTTAAAGGTGCTGTATGGGGTCGAATAGCACATTTATCTGTGTTTTAATTTAAAATACGTCCTATTGTTAGTACGAGCATATAACAAAAAAATCTTATAAAAGGAGATATAACATTTTATTTGATTGTTCTTATGACAAAAACTTCCTAATTCCAAGACCACTTAGAATGCAAAGTATACAAGAACAAATAGTGCTAGTTACATAGAGCAAGAGAGTGGTGTACGGAAGAGAGAGTCTTTTTGCATAATGCAGCAATAACACTTAGTCGACCTAATTAGCTCAAAGGATTTCATAGAGAAATGCACGTAAAGTGCTTCCCCTTTAAACCAACCTGAGACTAATGGTCCAGGATTAACGTTGCGGTTATCTGGAAGCGTCAGTGTAAACACACAATTTGCAGTGTTGCCGTGTCGTGCGGCGGTTCGCATTAATTGCATCTAGTAGGTGGGTGTTTGGCTCGCGACTCCGATCACTTTGCCAATAAGTGCCGAATAAACACGACTCGCCATCTGGCACGATCATAATCGTTAAGTGTTTAGACACTGGAATGTCCCGGATTTTTACAATGCAAATTACAAGACTTAATTTTTGCGTTTAATGCGCTACCAAACGCTCTCCGCAAAATGCCAGCAAATAAGCGATTTTAGACAAAATTTGTTTTTTATACAGTAGCTGAATGATTTTATAACTTATTTTAAACTGTAAACAATTTACTACACCTTTAGTAAATGTATATTTTTTGTACAGTTATATGTATTTAGCTTAAATTGAAATTCTTAATAGTATTGTGATGAATGGGAACTCCACCATCGGTGATTGGGACTGTTGGATGAAGTATGGTTAAAAAGCCAAACTTACATTATGACAGCTTTATTTAATCTGATCTATCCATTACAAAAATGTGTGGTTTATATACAAACTTAGAACGTACACAAGCAATGTTTTTGATTATTATTGCAAGATTGCAGTATTTTTCTATTGAAATGCATATATTACGTCTGCAATAATCTGAAACTTCATTTCCTCGGCTATGGGAATGTAATTATTTAAATACAATATTATAAATTAATTAAAATAAATCAATAATATTTTCTTATTTCGTAACAGTATTATCTATTTAAATTCAAAACTTAACATTCTTAAGAATGTCGTAATTACGACATTTTTATTTAGTTTAAATAATGAAATCAAATAAGTAATTTGTTATCTACGACTACTATGTAAAACGCCAAATTTTGTACGACTGATAACCCAAATATACATCACTTTAAGAACAGTGTGTAATATTGAAAAATCGCAGGGTTTGGATGGAATTAAGTTGTAGTTGCTATAGTTACATAACAGTTTTGCTAGGGAATTTCTGTTTGCTTGGTTTATTACTAACATAATGGTTACGAAATTAAGTAAATATTTCATTCGAATTTTGTTCTTCGAGCCGGGCACTTGCTCTATGATACAGTTTGAAATATATGTGACTTTTTCACCCTGGAGAGACAAAATTGGAATCCCAGCACAAAAATAAGCTGGTAACTATCAAATGTACAAAATCAACAATAGATTGAGTAAGTTACAAGGAATTTTCACAACACCTGGTTGAACTACACTGCGCATCAAAATTAACGCATAATAAGTAAGAAAATTCTAACTCTAAAACGCCTTAACCAATCTTTAAAAAATTTTGGATAAAAATACTTTAACTTATATCTCAGTTTACGTGTTTAAGGGTTTTTTGAAAAAATATCTTTAAAGCCCTTTTATTTAATAATAAAAAAAACGCTCGGGAAAAAACTATTATAGGGAATTTTGTTTAAGTATATAAAAAATATGCTGTGAAATACCGTATAGTATACCCTGAAAATGTTGTAGAAATCAAACAAATACAGCGCTTTAAAGTCGTCAAAAAATACCACTTTTCAGCAAAATAATCAAAAAGGGGTAATTTTTACCGTCTTTTAAGCGCTGTATCTTCCTTACTGTTCGTTTGATTTGTACAAAATTTTCAGGGTATATTAACAAAAATACGGTCTTTAACAGCATATTTTTTTATTTACATAAAAAAATTCCCTCAAAATTATTTTTCGAACGTTTTTTTTTATTATTAAATAAAAGGGCTTTAAAAATATTTTCCCGTAAAACCCTCGAACACGTAAACTGAGATATAAGTTGAAGTATTTGTATACAAAATTTTATAAAGATTGGCAAAGGCGTTTAATTTTGACGCGCAGTGTATATAAGGAAATAAGTACATGCAGCCATTTGCCTTGTAATGCATGGTTGAGATGAATTAAAAAATGTAATATGGATGAAATAAAATGAAGACATTTTTCCTCTATATTATTTCTTTTAAATAAAAATGAAGAAGATCAATTCCAAGTTTTGCAAAACAAAGCTATGAGAACTATATTGCAGTGTAAATAAATAAATAAATATACCCCTATTAATATTGTTGAATGTTCTAAATTTTATGAATGTAAACCAAAGAATTGTTTACCGTACTCTTGATTTAATTTATAAAATAAAAAATAATATGACGCCATCATATTTATATAAAAAATTAAATTTGTAAATAATATT